CCGCCCCGCCCCGCCCCGCGCGCTCCAGACCCCCGGGGCGGCTGCCGGGAGAGATGCTGGAAGAAACTTCTTAAATGACCGCGTCCGGCTGGCCGTGGAGCCTTTCTGGGTTGGGGAGAGGAAAGGAAAGTGGAAAAAACCTGAGAACTTCCTGATCTCTCTCGCTGTGAGACATGTCTGAGACTCCTGCTCAGTGTAGCATTAAGGTAAAAATCTTCTCCCCTCCCTCTCCGTGGTGGAAACCCTGAGCTGCACCGGCCAGGGCAGTCGTGCTGGGCTCCTCAGAGCGGGCTGTTGCAGTTGCTCTGTTCGCAGTAAATTATTTGGGGCGCGAGGGAAGGAGATGCAGCTCGCGGCGGCGGCTGTACCCTTTAGCGTAACCTTGCTGCTCCCCACCGCCGAGCCCCTGCTGGCTCCTCGGCCCCCACCCTCTTGCTTTTTGACAATGAAATGCCGGTCACAATTGGTCAGGAGCAACCCGGATTGTCTCCAGAACTGTAAAACACCCCCGTAATTAGTGCGCTTAAAAAAACCCCCAAAAACCTGCTCCCTATTCCTACACCCAACATGTGACTGAAATGTAACTTTTGTCCCCGACGGGTGGTCTTCTTAGAAAAAAAGTTCTTCAGTCCCAGCTGCGATAGAATCTTTTTCTTTATTTTTTTAAAGGACTCTCTGGGTCTGATCAGACATGATTTTTTCCCCCTCGTCTGATTGTAATTGCAAGTGCTGTCGGAGAGACAGTCCTGGTGTCAGCTTTTCCTAGGCATTGCACAATGAATTTTTTTTTTTTTTTAACCAAGGTGAATAAAGTTGCTGAATAGTTATTTTACTCTGATCCATATGAAAGTTGAGCAATCCCAAAGTAGAAAACTCCTGTGATGCAGGGAGAGGAAGAACTAAGCAAACCAGGCAAAATGACCTTCTGTGTTTGACAGTGCAGAGAGGGTATCTAAGAGCAGCACCCTCCCAGCTTTCTGGCCGGTTTTGCAGTATTGTAAATGCAGGGCGGTGGATGTTTGTAAACACACTGCTGGGCTACCCAGTAGTTGTGTGTATGCATGTCTATATATCTGTAAAGACTGTGGTGCTGCGGTTTGTTGCTTCTGAAAAGTTGTTGTAAAGTTTGCCACCATTGGGAGGCAGGATGATTTATCCGTCTACCCCAGTTATTTTTCCCATCGCTGCATTTATTGTACACTTTATTCATTTCACTATTCCACCAGTACCCAGGTAGAAAGCCTTCCGCCCCTGTGAGAGGCTGAAGCTGCTGAAGTTTTGTTTTTGGTTTGGCCTATTTAATGTATGTTCATTGAATGGACATTACAGCAACAATGGACAAGTAACCTGTTTTCTTCGTCTGTGGGGAGTTAGAAAAACCCTTCCTGTTTTAACACTGCCTTTCAATTAGAATCTGTGTAGGGGAAACGCAGTAGTTCATCATACAGGCTTACTAGGTTTTTTATAATTAGAATCACATTTTGGTGTTTCTTACCAGAAAACATTTTCATGGGTTTGAGGAGAGGCTAATGTGAAATCAAAAGGTGTGTTGGGCTTCTTTGTTTTTGCCTCACAAAAATGCCCAATGGAACTTTTAGGCTTTTGTGTTTGTACATATCTGGAGGTAGCAGTATGTCTGTGGGCATGGGGCGTGCCACACTAAAGAACTTGGGGTACTTTGATATTAATACTTCAAAACCAGTTTCTTTTGTGGTATAAATTAGATTCTACACCCAGTTCAGGAAAATCCTGCGGTATAGGTAATCTGATTTATTTGATGCTTCATAACATAGAGGTAACTTAAGACTAGGGTATTCAATCAATAAATTGTATTTAGCTCAGTGGCAATAAACCCAACATCAGGAAAATCTGGCCCATTACAGATCAGTAACTTTAGGACGAAACAACAAAAAGCAATGCTTTCTGTGACCTTTCTTGATTCTCTTCTAAACTGCATCCCCACCGTTCTGATGGGCTTATGGTGGTGTGCTGGCTGCAGACTGCTACTGAGTGGTTTGTTTCATTGTGCTCCAGTCGGAAAAAGAGTACAACAGTCCCTTGCCTTACTCACATACAGAACCAATTCCAAGCAAAACGCTTTCTTAAATGCAACGTGAAAATTGTGTCTATAATTTGCATATCATTTTTTCCTTATTGCTTACAACTCAGTTCTTTTAGGGTGCCTCTTTTCATTACTGTGTACTTCTATGTAATTAAAATAGATTTAATGTTCTTTACCAGAAAGGAAAGAATCACTTTTATTTTGGATTGTTCTTAATGGAACCAGTATATATTTGCGTAGACTGCATGTGTCTAGGTGAACGTATGTGAAGAGTATCTTTCCATGGAGTTTGTTTAATTCACAATGTTCCAATAATAAGCACTAGAGATCAAGGACTGGGATTATTCCGGGTCATCTGAAATGTTCTGGTGATGTGTGCTGCGTTTCATTTAGTCCTTGGGATGTGGTACGGTGACTGCATAATAAAAAATGTTTGCTGGTAACCCACAAGCAAGTTGCTTGCTTCTAGAGTCCAGTAAACAATACGCTTTTCTGTGTAGTGAAGAACAAATGTTAGAGGTTTTCAAGGATGAGCTGATGAACCTGATATACCGAACTCATGTGACACAAAAGGCTCTCACTATGGAGAGATTTCTCCCACTCCTTCTCTCCACTCCTGAAACCGTCCTCACTTGCTTTCATTCCTAACAAGTAGTGGGTCAGCAGGCAGACAGTTCCTCAGCGGCTGGTGAGATGCAGCACAGAGTAGCCTGACCAGAGACAGCCACAGAGGGAAGTACTTTGTTTATTTCTGAGCATTGCCTGCTGTGTTAGAAAAGAGGAGTGTCCGATTTGGGTGGAGTTTCCAAGGTGAAAGTTTCTGAATTGGTCAATCAGTGACGCCTTTGTAAAGATGGCTCATGTGGTGGCAGCTCACAGTGAATGCCTGATAAGGGCTTTTCTATTTCTTTTGCACTGTATAAGTTTGCTCCCATCACCCGGGGAAGTTAATATCAGACACACACTTTTTACAGTAGAAGAGAAGTTGACTACTCCGAGGGCACCGAAACTCTCACTGAGCCTTATTGTTTCTCTACACGCAACTTGCAGAAAGCAGGAGTGCTCGAGCGCTCCTGGGACGTCTGTCCTACAACCCTTGAAGGTTGTGGTACTGTTGTCATAGAAGCTCAGATGCTTCAATTCTTGACCATTTAGTGTTGTTTAAATGGAAGGAAAGGATCAACTCTCTAAAAAGTCAAATTATTTTAAAGAGGATTGCATGGCTGACTGTGCTGGTCACAGGAAGAAGGAAGAGGCTGTCTTTTCCATCATCAGCCTTCACCTTCAAGTCACCTGTTCAGTTCTAAGTTTGCCCAGGTTGCCGCAGAAGGTGGTTGTGGCCTAGCAGACACAGTCCCTTGTCAGGCTTGGCACAGTGTGTTAGTGGGCCAGGACTAACCAGAACACAAAAACGAGTCGCACAGTGTCTCTAGTCCCCTCCTTCCCTGCTGTCCTTATCAGTCAGCTTCCATAGCAAAAGGAAATCTGCTTTTTAAAATTTTGCTACTAACTGGGAGACTCTTTCGACTTCTCCTTCTGGACTGTGGGCTCCTTGGGTTTAGTGATGATTACCTTGGTGTCCTAGTAGCTAACTTGGCAGGTGACATAGAAATAGTTTTCAGTAATGTTTGCTGATGTGAAGTGAGAGGTGGGAGGAGGCCAGCCCCCTTTGCTCTTTCTGTCTGCGTGTAACCTCAGGGTGACGTAACACTTTCATCCACTGGCTTGCTTGCAGAAAGCCCTCAATAGGGCCCACTACAGCCTTAGAGAGGGCTAGAGCACTCCTGGGGGGTCCGTCCTCAAATTCTTATTAATAGAATTTTGATACAAAAAATGTTTTATAATTATTATTTCTTTGGAGACAGAGTGGCACTGTGTTGCCAGACTGGAGTTCAGTGGTGCGATCTTGGCTCACTGCAACCTCCTGAGTTCAAGCAATTCTCCTGCCTCAGCCTCCCAAGTAGCTGGGATTACAGGTGCCCGCCACCACGCCCGGCTAATTTTTGTGCTTTTAGTAGAGATGGGGGTTTCACCATGTTGGCCAGGCTGGTCTCGAACTCCTGACCTCAAGTGATCTGCCCGCCTCAGCCTCCCAGAGTGCTGAGATTACAGGTATGAGCCGCTGCGCCCAGCCTAATGTTTTATTATTTTGATAAAATTCTCAAAAACTGCTTTTATGTCAAAACTAACAAAGAAGGAAATTGAGGAAAAGGTACAACCAAGGGGCTTGAGGAATTGCTTTAACAGGTTCAGATTAGCAGGCTTCTAAGTGCCCCCCAGTGGTTCTGACAATAGAATCAGGGAACTTTCAAACGTTCAGAATTGAGAGACCTGAGAGATCCCCTGAGCCAACCTCCTATTTTTTATAGAGAGGGGATCCAGAGACCTAAGGGGTTTGCTTCAACCCATGGGGGAGTGAGCCAGGTTTGGAGGACACAGGCCTACAGGTTCTCAGGCTACTGCTTCTCTGGGCTCCTGGTGTGTCCCTATAAAAGGCCAAGGAAACTCGATACAATAGGCTTCACTCTCTCTGGCACTTCCTAGCTTGGTCCATTTTAATCACAAGCCAGCTGGTCTGAGGGCACGGGGGTATGTGCCAAGGAAGATGGTATGTGGGGGGAGAAATGGGCCACTGGGGTCTGGTCAGGTGTGAGAAGAGGAAGTAGTAGGAGGGAGGGGATGAGGGAAGAAGGGCCTGACGGACTTGTATTGGCACCACTATTTGCAGCAATGTGTGTGTGTGTGTGTGTGTGTGTATATATATATATTTACAGTGCACAAGGGCCTGCAAGTTCTGTTTTGAGCTGAAGGCCCCTTATCTGCTGTTAGGACTCCTTTGAGGAATCCTTGGGTGGGCCGTAGTGTCTTTTATCAAGGGTCAGCCAATCCTATTTATACTTTAATTTCTGTGTAGTAAGCTCCCTGTTTCAAATAGCCAAAGCTAAAAACGTGGCAGCTGGCCCTAAAGAAGTGGCTGTGGAAAGTATCCTCCTCAGGATAAGTAAGTCAAGGGCAAAAAGTACCCCAAATGTGAGCACCAGAGGCAGGCAGAGCTAAGTCGCATTCTGCTCCTCCAAGTGCAGCTGTATTTGTGCACACCAGGAAAGAGCTGGGGGCAAGGTGGGGGCACAGGGTTGCTGGGAG